GATTGAATTTTCCTAATTTTCCTTTAAAATGGAAGTTAAAAACGCAACATGGCTGAGCTGCTTGCTAGCCCTAGAACAGTGTTTTCATCCTGTGCAACTTGTCTTGGCCTCTGTGCACTGAAGGATTTGATTTCCTACTTTCATGCTTCACTTCAACAGTTTGCAACCCTTTCTTTGTAGAAAAAGCTCCTCTCAAAGAGAGTGAAAACTCATGAAGGATCACAGTAGGGGGAAGAGCAAGAAAGGATGGAGACAAATTAAAAGCACTAGAGGTGACGCAGTGAAGGCAAGGAAAAACACTTCCTGTCATTTGTAAGCAATTTAAAGAGATCTAGAACAGACAGCATATGAACACCATAATAAACCAATAGGGTCTTTAATTTGCAGAAGAAAGAGACTCTGCAACAAAACTGCATTAGCGAACTGACCACAGTAAGTCTACTTGTTAGTAAGATGTTCTGGCTGCAAGAAGCCTATGATCTTTTTACTCTGAGCTCCAAGTATAAGGGCACAGTAGAAGGTATGCTGCTCTTATCTTGTGGTAGCTGGATAATGGCCATGACTGAGTTGATTCCCAGTGTCTATGGCCCAAGATCTGTCTTTTCAGTGAGATCACAGGACAATGAAGTAGTTTATCCTGCTCAGTGTACCCACATAGGACACTCCTACACTACGAGGAGAACAACTGCTTTTAAAAGCCTCTTTAAAATGACTTTTTAAAAGCACTGGTTGCTTAGAAAACTAAAAAAAAAAGAAAAAGTACACTAGAGAAAAACTCCCACGAAATGGTACCCATTAAAAAAGTCAAATGAAAACAGATATATTTTCTGTCCTTGGACACTTACCGCAAAGATCATCTGTTAAGAAAGCTGATAATCTTTCTCAATATTCTTTTAAGTAAATCCACTGCCTCATTGCATATTACAGTGCTTTCCTACAGCAAGAAAGTACACCAGATATGGGCTCCAACCCTTAGGATCACCTTAAGTATCCAATTATGTTCTCCAGCACAGATGCATGAAACCCCTAATAATCTGGAAATAGTCATATCAACAACTAATAGGAGTATTTTATAGACCTGTATCATATTTTCCTTACAATTATGTTAGCACTACTTCCCAAATTGTACTTCTACAGTCTGTTTCGCTTCCCTCAGAAATACAAGCTTTGTTGGAGTGGACCTGAGTAGACACCACAGACTGATGTAGAGTAGGCTGAAAATGCAGGTTGACTGTGTTAATTAATGGGCTGATAACCACGCTGTGAGCAAACTAACAGCATGATCATTTATGAAATTATTCACATAGTCACCTTAACTGCCATTGATTTTCCATGAGAAATTCAGTCATAGAACACACTGTGCAAATTAGACAAATGGTATTCCTGCCCATGAAAAAGATACTCCTCTAACACAATGTTCATCTCACTATTCTTTCAGTCTTCATGATTTTGTTCGCCCTAACTTGGCTGGCACATCACTCTTTTTCTTAGTTATCTAAGTAGCCTCCTCCTCCTCATCTGCTGCCTAGGGTGTGAGAAAAATCTCACATGGAAAGTAAACCACAGGCAGACACATGAACTCATGCACTGTCCATTGTGACTGGGAAGACTGACCTTGACTCTCCCACTGCTACAGCTCTCCGTGGGTACCCGTCACAAGCAAAAGCAATCTGGGAGCTCTTCAGAGATTATCTTCCATTTGCCTACATCTTTTGACATTACTTAGACCAAAAGTAAACTAATAATAAAAAGTATGAATTCAAAGATTTCAGCTCTGTGTATCAGACAGATGAAAATCTGATGATCCACACTGGCCTGTGTTGTTTCTCCACCCTTGGAGAACAGCTTTGCTGCCCAGCATGCACACACCCCACACAACTAAATGAAACTAACCTTATATCCGCTTGTCGCTTTCCGCATAACTGTTCTAAGCCCTTGAAGGCAAGTCTCTCTCTACAGTTAGCTGCTCCAGCTATCTCAGGCAATGAGAGCACAGCACAGCATGATCTCAAAGAGGTATGCCAAGCCTTCTGATACGTGACACCTCTTATTAAATATTCAGATGAAAAGATGATGACTTGGAAACTGTCCTACACCTTGTTACCAAAGATAACACACTCTTGGTCTAAATGTCAACTAAAAGAAAAAAAAATAAAAATAAATTGCAGAATGTTGACTGCTTCTCCCATTAAACTTCTCTATGTTTCTGACATAAGAAAAAGCAGTGTGTGCATTATTGGTAAGTTGTTCTAGTAAAGCATTAATGCCAAGTCTATCATACTTCCCACGCAGCACAACTCATGTACAGGAGACTGAACAACTCATCTATTTGAGACGACATTTCCCACCACGCTACATAGGAATAACAAATAACAACAGCCGTTTTGTACTGTTGAGTGGGTAGGACAGATTTATATCTCCAGGACTTAAAACCCAACCCTGCTGAAGTCAACATCAAATCACCTGATTATCAGAATAAATTGAAAACATTGCCATTAGACTGAATAGGGGGACTCTACAACCTACAGTGGGAAATAACTTTGCTGGATTGGCAATACAGGCAATGAGGCCACCTGCCTCAGAACTTCTTCAGAAACATTTGGCACAGCCTCTGTTTTACATCAAACACTGAATGTAAGTAGTTATAAACCAGTAAGAAACTTGGTAAAAGCTAGGATGATTATGGGGCTGAAACCATTTCATACAATCTAGCTTCAACTGGTTTCCACTTGAAACCGCAGATCAGTTCAGACTCTCTGAAGCACTTTGGTTTTAGTCTCTTGCCCAGTACTACTATGTTATTATTACTGTCATGATTATGACAGCACTGAAATTTCCTGATCAAGCTCAGGGACATACTGCAGTAGGCATTTTATAAAGATAAAGGAAGATCTGGTCCCTGTTCTAAACAATGTGTATTCTGATTTAAGAGAAACTTAAGAATTTGTACTGCTACCTGCCCTCAATGGGTAGTAAACTAAACCTGATTAATCTAAATTCTTTCTTGTTTTCCATAGGGGTAGAAAAAAATAATGCCTAATTTAAGCTGTATCATACTACTCCACTCTAGAGGAGGCAGGAAAAAAGAAGAGTTTTGGATGCGAGTTTGACTCCATCTGAAGGGTGTCAGAAATATGTGAAAAATTTACAAACAGAATATAAGTGTTGAAGACTAAACAGGCAGCCCAGAACTGCCTCTTCTTTCCTTTATGATTCTCCAAATGTCAGTCTGTCTCCCTCTCTCCTGGCTGCATAAAAACCTTGTATTCATAGCACTGCCCTTTCAACATGTACCTCAGTTACATGCAACAATACCTATTCAGCAAGTCATTTCCCTCACCACTTTGTTATCTAGAAGCCTATAAATCTATTGCAGAATTATGTTATTTGTGGTCCACCCCAGTCATCCTGTATCAAACTGCTGCAGCTTCACTTGCAATCTAACCTACTTCTAAGACCTTCACCCTTAATTATCTAACACCACAGCAGCTGAAGTGACATCTGTTGACTTGTATATCTCCCAACTGATGGCAGATGCAGGACATCAGTAAAACATTCTTTACAACAAATTT